AAAATTATTTCAAATTTTTTTAACATTTATTTTTGAGGGGCGAGGGGAGACAGCATGAGCAGGAGAGGGGCAGAGAGAGAGGGAGACACAGAATCCAAAGCAGGTTCCGGGCTCTGAGCTGTCAGCACAGAGCCCTACACGGGGCTCAAACCCACGAACTGCGAGATCATGACCTGAGCCCAAGTCATAAGCCCAACCGACTGAGCCACCCAGGCGCCCCGCCCACTGAGGCGGAAACTTCTTGTTGAAACAGGAGATATTTAGAAAAACAATGAACGAAGAAGAAAAACTATTTAAATATGACCCCGACATTTATTAAAGGCTAATTTTTAAAAATTCCAGGGGTGCCTGGGTGGTTCAGTCAGTTCTGCACCCGTCTGGATCTTGGCTCAGATTTGTGAGTTCTCACAGTTTGTGAGTTCCAGGCTCACATCTGCCTCTGTACTAACGGCGTGGAGCCTGTTTGGGATTCTGTCCCTCCTCTCTGCCCCTCCCCCGTTTATGCGTGCATGTGTGTGTGCGCCCGCTGTCTCTCTCTCTCTCTCTCAGAAAAAGTAAATAAACCTAAAAGAAATGAAAAACTTCCAAAAAAACTTAAAAATTTTTTTTTTCAACGTTTATTTATTTTTGGGACAGAGAGAGACAGAGCATGAACGGGGGAGGGGCAGAGAGAGAGGGAGACACAGAATCGGAAACAGGCTCCAGACTCTGAGCCATCAGCCCAGAGCCTGACGCGGGGCTCGAACTCACGGACCGCGAGATCGTGACCTGGCTGAAGTCGGACGCTTAACCGACTGCGCCACCCAGGCGCCCCCAAAAAAACTTTTTAAAACATATTTTTACTATACATTGTAATCGTGTTCTTGTTCACTATAATGGCTCTGGAAACCGAGATGTTAATTTTAAAAAACTGCAGACAGTGTTGCTAAAATAGCAAAAGTTCTCAAAAATCTTGAACTATTTGATTAATGTGGTCTTTTATTCCTCTGAAGGAATCCTTCATAGAAGCACAGCTAATTCTGCTGAGTTCCTGAGCTGTTCAGAGCAGCCAGGTTTTCTGTCACATGCACGTATGGACAGTGGATTTAGGTCCCGGTGTGTTCTCTCCTTCCTGCAGTCATTCATTTTGTCCTGCATTCCAGCAGCACTGACTGAGACACATTTGTGAACACGGACAAAATGTTCCCTACCTTCTTCTGCCCTGGTGGGAGGTGCAGACAATACAAACAGTAAAAACAGACAAGTAAATATGCTCACACGTTGGAATGTGCTACATGCTAGGACCAAGAACAACAGGTCACAATAAGTGGTCAGAGAACTATGTGTGTGTGTGTGCGCGCGTGCATGTGTGTGTACGTGTGTGTGTGGGGGGGGGATGGCAAGGTGCCAGCTGTGAACTTGAAAGAGGTCATGGGCAAGTCTCTCTAAGCTCCAGTAGAGTCACACACAAAATGATGATGTCAGTAATTATCTCAGAGGAATAAAAAGGAGAGATATTGTATGTGAAGTGGCCAGCTCGTGCTTTGGCACACTGTAATCATGGACCAAATTGGGGGGGGGGGATCGAAATGAGAAAGGAAAAGAACAAAATTAATTTTCCAACCCACTGGACATCTTTGTAAGCCAGTATTATACAGGGTTCCCCAAAGCAGCCAACTTTTAAGAGCAGAAAATACCAAACATGCATAACTCCGTAATTCATGAGCATTATTCCAAAGGCTTTCAATGTGCTAAAACACAGCAGCTCATAAGCTTCTAGAAAGCTAATGAACCAAACACATTTTTAACATTAGTATTACAGAATTGTTCCGAAGATTTGAATAATTTAAAGGATTTGTGGCAGATTGTATTTGCCAAAACTGGCTTCAGTGGTATTTTCAACCCCACATGCTCTTCCAGAACCTGGAAGCCAGGAGGGCCTCTGTGACTGCCTGCCCCTGATGAATAAACTATGACAAAGGGGAAGCCACCTGCCTTCTGAGGCTGGATCATGGGCAGTACAGCTTCTGTCTGGCTCTTGCACCCTTGGGACACATCTTGGGGGCCCTGATCTTTATGCATGACATCTGTCTACCCTGGAGCAGCCCTGCTGTGGAGCACATGTGTGGAGAGGCCACAGAGATGAAAGAAATACTGGGGGACCCCATCCGCTGGGGCCCTCAGCTGTCTGGGTTTCCCCAGCCTAGACACCAGAAATATCTAGTGAACTGAGTCTTCTGATGATTCCACACCAGCCACCATCTCACCACAGCTGTGGCAGAACCAGGAGGTGGCTTTGCTGAGCCCAGCCAGCTGCTGAGAGAGAACAACATCATGCTTGTTATTTTAAGCCACTGGATTTTGGAGAGGTTTGTTATATGGCAATAGAAAGCTACTGTAGATATCGGTACCTGGAGGGTGCTACTATGAGATTACTTGAAAAGTGTGCCAGTGGCTTTGGAAAATTGGAGGATCCTTGAAGAGCATGTTAGCAGAAGCGTGGTGATCCTTAAGAGTGCTCTTGGTGAGGCTTCAAGGGGAGGGAGAAATTCTGGAACCTGGAGGAAGCACAGCCCTTTTTATGCCACCACGGAAGGGTCAGCAGCACGGTCACCTGTGGTGGCGTGGAAAATAGAAACCATGCTTTGGGAGGTGGGTGATCTAGCGAAGGAGGGCTGCAGGCAGAGTGCGAAAGCTGCCTTCTGGATTATTCTAGCTTCCTCTAGTAAAATGTGAGAGTAAAGACATAAGCTAAAGAAAGAACTAGTAACTATAAAGGAGCCAGGGCTTTCTGGGCTTGAAAATAACATGGCTCTTCACTGCCAGGCTGTCCAGATGGCAAATAATTCCCAAGTGAAGAAGTAACTTCCAAGCAGAGATGAAATCTGGGCCGTTTCCAGGAAAAACAAACATGGGGCCAAGATCATGGCTTTGCGACCCTTTGTTAAGACCTCAGAAAGATTTAAATTAGGGCCCCACGCACCCTTCCAAAGCAGCAAGACCACAGGACTTGTAAGAATATTGAGAGCTTTGCCCCACAGAACTCCTGGAGAGAGCCCAGAGTAGAGAAGAGATTGTCTCAAAAAAGTTAGTGGCTGTGGCTTTTCACTAGTGGAGTGGATTAGAAACCGACTCACAAGAAACTCACAAAGCTTTTAAGGGAATTGTATCAGCGTGCACTGAAAGGAGCAGAGGCGTTACAAAATGGAAAGTTCTGGTGCCTCAAAATTTTATGAGCAGAAAGCAGGCTGAGAGCCCCAAATAAGATGCCTCTTGTGGATCAGGAATTATAAATCGAAGGTGAGCCAAGACTGCAGAACATGGACCTAAGGGTCACAAAAAAACATTTCCAGGGATAGGACTAAATTCAATAGGCACATCACATGCCCAGGTGTCATACAGAAGTGCCTCGTGCCTCCCAAACTTCCTGCTCCGGTCAAGGGCATCCACACCCATCCCTCCAGGTACCCCTCATAAGGAATAGAGAACCTGTCTTCAGATAGAAGGGGGCATCCTGGAAGAGCTGCCTGGCTAAGCAGCTGTCCCTGAGCCCGGGACACCAGGGTCTGGCAGAGATGGATGAGGTGGGGACTTTGGGTCTGGCCCTGGTAGGGGTGAGGGGATGAGGCTTTGGGGAGTTTGGAGGAGGAGTGAGTGTATTTCAGATGCGGGAAGGGTGTGAATTGTTTTGTCCAGTGGGTGGAATGGAACTGAATTTCCCCCAAATTGGCCACAATAGTGTTTCTAGTCCTATCAAGACTCGGAGACTGTTTCTCCTTCTTCAACCCAGATGCACCCTTGGGACTGCCTGACAGGTGGAAGCTGGTGAACACGAGACGCACGACCACCGGGGATGCCTGGCGCTCTCTTCCTGGAGCCTATGAGCCTTTGCCACACTGATTCTCTACATATGACATCCAGGTACCCTGAAGCCGTCATGCTGCACACACCACGTGGAGACAGAGATCTGCACACACCATCTCCAGACAGAGATGCCCAAGGAGTCCTAGTCCTTAACACGCGGAGGCACCAGAAGTGCAAGTGACCGGCTTTCGGGTGATTCCAGCCACCAGCCATGGCCTGCAGCTTCACAAGGGACCTTGACTGAGAACCACCCAGAGGAGCCCAGTGAACACCCACAATCCAAGCACTAGCATTAAAT